ACAGTCACTCCTTGGAAATCCTATACAGGATTCCTATGCACTGGAACTGACTCAACAGCACTTATCAACAAAAAACTGTACCAAGCATGATATCCTTCTCCAGGTACCAGTCACTCCTGACAACATGTCCAAAATATGAAAAACAAAATCTCACCATCCTGGCTTCTAAGGAGCATCTGGTTGTACTTCTTCCAACACAGATTTGTTTGTTTTTCTGTCAATCTATGGTTCCTCTAATATTCTTCTCCAACACCATAATTCAAGTGCATCAGTTCTTCTATGGTATTTTTTATTTACTCTCCAACTTTCATAAACATATGAAGCTATTGAAAATACCATTGCTTGGGTCAGGTGCGCTTTATTCCTCAAACTGACATCTTTGCTCTTCAACACTTTGAAACGGTCTTGTGCATCAGATCTGCTTGATGAAATTCATCATTTAATTTCTTGACTGCTGCTTCCATGACTGTTGATGGTGAATCCAAGCAAAATGAAATCATTGACAACTTCAATATTTTCTCTATTTATCAGGATATTATTTACTACTCCAGTGGTGAGAATTTTTGTTTTCTTTACATTGAGGTGCAACCTATACCAAAGGCTGTGGTCTTTGATCTTCATCAGTACGTATCTTAAGTCCTCTTCACTTTCAGCAAGCAAGGTTGTATCATTTGTATATCACAGGTTGCTAATGAGCCTTCCTCCAATTCTGATGCCACATTTTTCTTCATATAATCCAGCTTCTTGGATTATCTGCTCAGCATACACATTGAATATGGTGACAGAATACAACCCTAGCACACACATTTCCTGATTTTAAACCACTCATTGTCCCCTGGTTCTATTTGAAAGACTGTCTCTTGGTTTATGTTCAGGTTCCTCATGAGCACAATTAAGTGTTCTGGAATACTCATTCTTCACAATGTTGTCCCCAATTTATAATGATACACACAGTCAAAAGTCTTAGCATAGTACTTTATTAAGTACAAGTAAACATCTTTCAGGAATTCTCTGCTTTCAATCAAGATCCATCTGATGTCAGCAATGATATCTCTCCTTCCAGGTCCACTTCTGAATCTGGCTTGAACCTCTGGCATTTCTCTGTCAATGTACTGTTTTAGACATTTTATCTTTAGCAAAATTTTACTAGGATACAATGTTAATGATATTGTTTGATGATTTCTGCATTCCATTATGTCACCTCTCTTTGGAATGGGAGCAAATATGGATCTCTTCCAATCAGTTGGCCAGGTAGTTGTCTTCCAAATTTCTTGGCATAGATGAGTGAGTGCCTCCAATGCTGCATCACTTTGTTGAAATTTTTCAATTTTTACTCCAATTCCTGGTGCTTTGTTCTTTGCCAATTACTTCAATGCACCTTGGACTTCCTCCTTCAGTATCATTGGCCGTTGAGCATATGCTACCTCTTGAAATTGTTGAACAGTGACCATTTCTTATTGGTACAGTGACTCTGTGTATTCCTTCCACTTTCTTTTGATGATTTCTGCATCATTCAGTATTTTGTCCACAGAATCCTTCATTACTACATGTAGAGGCTTGAATTTTTTTCTTCATTTCTTTCAGCTTGAGAAATGCTGAGTATGATCTTCTCTTTTGGTTTTCTATTTCCAAATCTTTGCACATTTCATTATTTCATTATAATAGTTGACTTTGTCTTCTTGAGCTGTCCTTTGAAATTTTCTGATGAGCTCTGTTACTTCCTTATTTCTTCCATTTGCTTTAGCATCTCTGTGCTGGAAAGAAAGTTTCAGTGTCTCTTCTGACATCTGTTTTGGCCTTCTCTTTCTTTCTTCCTTGACTTCTTAATGACCTTTTGCTTTCTTCCTGTATGAAATTCTTGATTTCATCCTACAACTCTTCTGGTTGTCAGTCATTAGTGTCTTACGCATCAATTCTGCTCTTGAGATGATCTCTAAATTCAGGTGGGATATATTCAAGGTCAGAATTTGGTTTTTGTGGACTTGGTTCAATGTTCTTCAGCTTCAGCCTGAACTTGCATATGAGCAATTGACGGTCTGCTCCACAGTCTGGTTTTGGCTGATGATATGGAGCTTTTCCACCATCTCTTTCCACAGATGTAGTCAATATGATTTCTGTGTATTCCATCTGATGAGGTACATGTGTATAGTCACCTTTTATGTTAAAAAAGGTATATGCGATGAAGAAGTTATTAGCCTTGCAAAATTATATCGTGTGATCCCCAGCATCATTTTTATCACCAAGGCCATATCTTCCAGTTATTCATCATTCCTCTTTGTTTCCAACCTTTCTATTCCAATCACGAGTAATTATCAATATATCTTAATTGCATGCTTCACCAGTTTCAGACTGAAAAAGTTGATTGCTGTTGTTTTTGTTAAGTGCCACCGAGTTGGCTCCATCTCATAGCAACCCTGTATAGGGCTTCTGAGGAACAGTTTGTGGGTTTGAACTTCGGACATTGTGATTTGCAGTCCAGTGCTGATCCTACAATGCCAATTTCATTATCACTGGCTTTAGTGGTTGGTACATAAAATTGAATAATAGTGGTATTAACTAGTCTTCTTTATGTTATTGTTAGGTGCCATCAAGTTGGTACTGATTCATAGAGACCTTATGCACACAAACACTGTCCGGTCCTGGGCCAACCTCATAACTGTTGCCACGCTTGAGCCCATTGATGTTGCCACTTTGCCAATCCATCTCGCTGGGGATCTTCCTCTTTTTCTCTGACCCTCCACCTTACCAAACATGATATCCTTCTCCAGTGATTGGTCCCTCCTGACAATATGTCTGAAGTATGAGAGACGAAGTTTGGCCATCCTGGCCTCCAAGGAGCACTCTGGCTGCACTTCTTCCAAAACAGATCTGTTTGTTCTTTTGGTAACCCATGGCACTTTCAATATTCTCCTCCAACACCATGACTCAAATGCATCAATTCTTCTATGGTATTCCTTATTCACTGTCCACCTTTTGCATGCATATGAGGTTATTGAAAATACCATGGCTTGGGTGCACCTTTGTCCTCAAACTGACATCTTTGTTCTTCAACACTTAAAAAATTTCCTGTACAGCAGATTTGCCTAATGCAATACGTTGTAAGATTTCCTGACTGCTGCTTCCAAGAGTGTTGATAATTGACCCAAGAAGAATGAAGTCCTTGACAACATCAATCTTTTCTCCATTGATAAGAATGTTGTTTATTGGTTCGTTGGTGAGGATTTTGTCCTGTAGCTTCATACTGAGCCTGTTCCACTGTTTGGAACCTCTTTCAATTTAGCCAACTTTTTTGTGTCCTTCAAGCTTTAGGGCCAAAATTAGTTTTCCAGGAAACCTTACTTTGAGACTGTGTGAATGTCATCCCTTCTGATTTAGAGACTCTTATGTGCAGTCTCCTTCTGTAAAGATTTACATTTTGGAAATCCTCTGGGGGCAGTTCTACTTTGTTCTATAAAGTCACACTGAATACCAATATGTTGGGTTTTGTTTTAAAAAACTTTTATTGTAAATTGAGTGGATTACAGAGCAGATCATCAGTCTTACATTCAACTAATCTTACACTTAGTTTGATCTCAATGATTGCAATCCCCTCAAAGCATAGGTTGTTTTTGTTTGGTGCAGATTTTGGTTTACTGTTCTGTCTCGCTTTTAGTTTGTGTCATATTTGCATTTTTATGATTCCATGACAAGCAAGGGACTTGTCACATAGTTTGTTGTTATTGTTAAGTGTCATCGAGTCAGTTCTGATCCATAGTGACCATGTCACATAGTGGTGGTGGTGATGGTACACTGTCAGTTCCTACTCATGGTGGTGGTGGTTATGTGTCGTGGAGTCGGTTCCAATGGAGTTTGTTGTTGTTAAGTGATGTCGAGTCGGTTCCGACTCATAGTGACCCTGTACAGGGTTTCCGTGGCTGTAAATCTTTACAGGAGCAAAAACCCTCATCCTTCTCCCGCAGAACAGCCGGTAGTTGCCAACTGCTGACCTTGAGGTTTGCAGCCGATTTATAACCACTACGCTACCAGAGCTCCTTGTTCCTATTCATGTTGTTGTTGTTGTTAAGTGCCGTCAAGTCAGTTCCGATCCATAGCAACCCTGTATAGATAGGGTTTCTGAGGAGCAGCTGGTGAGCTTGAACCGCCGACCTTGAAGTTCAAATGGCTGTGCAGTCTGTCGCATTAACCCACAGAGCCACACCATGTTTCAAGGTTGTAAATCTTTAGATTTAGAAATAAGAGCAGAACACCTCTTATTTCCCCCCATGGATTCGAACAGCTGACCGTGCGGTGAGCAGCCTGACATGTAACCCACTATTTCACACAGTTGTTATGTGCCATTATTTAGTTAATTGCTTATTGAAAGAATTTTGTAAGTAGAACCACAGGGCTTACAGAGCCTCTGGACGGAAAGCATGAAAACCTTTCTGGGTCGTCTGTAATTAAGTAGTACACAGATTCTGTGTGTCAGTCATGGGCAGTATTGGCCCTCTGTTAATTTAAGATAAGGGAAAAGTTAGCCTCGCTTCGATAACCTTGCTTTTTGGCTTACAGAGACTCTTGGCGAGTTGGATAGGTGGTGCTGAGAAGACATAGAACTACAATTTCCAACATGCCTACTGTTTCCCCTCTTTGCCACAGCCTCTTTACCACGGAAGTAAAAGCTACACTTCCGGGGTCAACAAGAACCTGGAGCCGGCTGCATTGGGTCGGCTTTGCTGGGCTTTGGTCGGAAGCTCCGCCTTCGCCCCAGTCTTTCTGGAAACCCAGATTTGCTCCAGGCTGTGGCGGACAGGTATTTCACGGCCGCTGTGTGTGTCCCAGGGCGATCCGCCGCACCGGGGATAGGGAGACCGTTCAGTCAGTCTGGGCGGAGTGCGGTGGGCCTGTGGCACGGGGCAAGGAAGCTCGTTACCGGGGTCGAAGACTGGGCGCTGACCGCTTGTCTCTTTTTTCTTCTTTCTTCATGATCGCGGCTTCCCAGACACGTGTGTGAGTCTCCCATGGCAGAAACGGCCCCCAATGGCCCCCAAGGGGCTGGCGCAGTGGTAAGTGCGTGGGCAGGTCGCCCGGCTTGATTTGGCAGGAATAGGAAAGGAGCAGGAAGTGGTACGAGCAGTTAGTTCCCTAGACACTTAAGACGCTCAGTATTTCCAGGACTGGGTTTAGTAAAGAGAGGGGAGATTGTGAGGAAGATACTAGAGCTACTTAGCTTCTGTTTCCAAAGCAACCACGGGCCAACCTGGGGAGGTGGCGCTCACCTGTGTGCCAGAGAAACTGGGCCTCTTCCCTTCCCTCGCTCTCAAGGTTGCCTTTCATCCCGTCCACACGTGCTTGCAGAAAACATTTCTGTACACTTTATTCTATGATAGCGCAATTACATAAGGGAGGAGCGCAGTATTTTTATCTCTTTCCTTTCGTCTTTAATTCTTTACGGAGAGAAGTATTATTATGCTTTTGTAATTTTTTTAAAATGCGATCTGCAGCTTTCTAGTTATTTGTGCCCAAGGAATACGCTAATTGGGCGTTACTTTTTGTTAACATTTTGCAGCATTTCTATAAGTGGGGGGGGGCTTCAGAAAGTGCATGGAAATTTTTCATCTTTTCATTCCAGTTTTCCACGAACTTTTTGAAGGCCCTTGTACACATGTTAGTTACATGATCATGATACTTAACACATAAATATATTATTCAACATGCCCAGAATGCAGTGATCATATTTGGGAAATTTAACAGTGATGTATGTTTGTATTCAGTCTGTGTTCCTTACCTGGTCTATAAAGCTGCTTCCCTTTCAGCATTCAAAAGGAGCCAATCAAAAAAACTTGCTATTAGCTTTACTGACTTTATATCTTTCATGTTAAACGGTTCCCCTGCCTCTCCTCCATGTTATTTTACATGATATTGGTATTTTTCAAGAGTTTTAGACCTTTTTTCTGCAGAATGCTTCTCAAATTGGATTTGCTTGATTTTTTGCCCCCTCATAATTGTTTTTCTTAAATGCCTTCAAGTCGACCCTATATAGGGTTTCTAAGGAGCAGTTGGTCCATTTGAACTGATGACTTTGTGGTTAGCAGTCCAGTGCTACTCCAGGACTCCACTTAACCCATAAACACTTGAATATTCTGCATGACAAGAATGCAGTGATCATATTTGAGAAATTTAATATGGATATGTTATTAGTTAATATACAGGCCATATTGCAGTTTCCTCAGCTGTCCTATAATAAATCTGCTTCCCTTTTACTATTCAAAAGAGGCCAATGAAAAAATCATGTCTTCCCTGGCCTTATCTCTTTAATCTCTTTGACTCTTCCCTGCTTAAGTTCCTCTGCACCTCCCCACAATTTTTTGTTTTTCTTGATGTCGGTATTTTCAATTTTAGACCTGTTGTTTTACCGAATGCTCCTCAAATTGGATTTCTCCCTCTTGATTAGGTTACAATTCGACATTTTGGCAGGAATATTGTTATTGTTAAGTGCCATCGAGTTGATTCCGACCCACAGCAACCCTACATAGGGTTTCCAAGGATTGGTGAGCTTGAACCGCTGATCTTGTGATTCAAATGACTTTGCAGTCTAGCGTATTAACCCACAATGCCACACCAGGACTTGTCAGGAATATTAATAAGTAATAATTGTGTCCTTAGTACATTGTACATATCTACACACATCAGGAGGCTTTTTTTTTTTTTTTTTTAACTTTTTTTTGTGAACTGAGTGAAGCCTTACAGAGTAGATCATCTATTTTATATTAAACAAATCATACACTTCATTTCATCTAAATGACTGCCATCTCTTCCCTGTAGCAACGGGTCTCCCACTTCTTCCTTGTGGTTCTTATCTCCAGCCTACCCTCTTTCACAATCCTTCTGAACTTTGTCCTTAGGTAAACGTTGCCCTTTTAATAGATCTGAGTGGTTGACCATTCCATGGTGAACAGACCTTTACTAGTGTTGTTCCCTCCTCTGTATAATTATGGACCACTTGACGGGAAATTGGGCCATCAGGGTGTTCCAGACCTGCAGGGTGGCTGAGGGCTATACTCTCATGTTCCGCTAGTCTCCTTCTGACCAGTAAGCCTGGTCTTTTTTATAATTTTGAGTGTTGTTTCACATTTTTTCCTACTCTATCCAAGGACCGTCTATAGTGATCCCTTTCAGAGTAGTTAGGTGCCATCGAGTCAGTACTGACTCACAGCGACCCTATATACAACAGAACGAAACACTACCCGGTCCTGGGCCAACCTCACAATTGTTGCCACGCTTGAGCCCACTGATGCTGACACTTTGCCAATCCATCTTGCTGGGGATTGACCCTCCACCTTATCAAACATGATATCCTTCTCCAGCGACTGATCCCTCTGACAGTAGATCCGAAGTATGAGAGATGAAGTTTAGCCGCCTTAGCCTCCAAGGAGCACTCTGGCTGCACTTCTTCCAACACACATCTGTTGGTTCTTTTGGCAGCCCGTGGCACTTTCAATATTCTCCTCAATACCATAACTCAAAAGCATCAATTCTTCTACAGTCTTCCTTATTCACTGTCCAGCTTTCACATGCATATGAGGTTACTGAAAATACCATGGCTTGGGTCAAGTGCACCTTAGCCCTCAAGCTGACATCTTTGCTCTTCAACACTTTAAAAACGTCTTGTGCAGCAGATTTGCCTAATGCAATACGTCGTTTGATTTCTTGAATGCTGTTTCAGAATAGTGGCTGGCTGGCTGTGTGCCATGGAGTCGGTTCCAATTCATAGCGACCCTGTCCAGGGTTTCCGAGGCTGTAAATCTTTACGGGAGCAGAACACCTCATCTTTCTCCCGTGGAACAGCTGGTAGTTTCACACTGCTGACCTTGTGGTTCACAGCCCAATTCCTAACCACTTCACTACCAGAGCTCCTTTTCAGAATAGTGGGTAATGGTAAATGGGCACCATCTAGTTTTTCTTGTCTCAGGCATAGAGACTAATGTCTAGGTGCTCCATTTGTCCATTGGACTAATTGATTCCAAGCATCTTCAGTTTGCATTTCTCTTTCAATAAGGAGGCATTTTATGTCACGTCATTAGAGGTATTTTAATTTTTTAAACACTCAGGCATATATAAGAATTTTAAACCAGCAAAGGGCACATTCTTTAAGTTAGCCTTCTGGTCGCCATCTCTCAGTCCCTGTCTTCCCAAGAATCTAGAGTTCTCAGCTGCTCCCTCTCTCCATGTCCCCATCTCTGCCTCCATCTCTGGTATCGCTGCTTCTCTGGATAAGGTCTCGCATTCCACTTGTGCTCTTCTCCCTTGATAGTCCTAGGATCATCTGTTTCTGGTCTGTAAGATTAACTACTCCCCCATTTTTTTACATAACTTCTACCTTTACAGTTGTGATAGTCTCAATTAGTCATGATAACAATTACTTACTATTGAATCATAAGAATCTTATGCCCATCTCTTTTAACCAGACCCATCTAGACAAGATGAAAACTATTCAATGAGACTCTGTCATCCCCTACACACTCTTAAACTAAACTCCCTCTTGAAACCTTGTAAGCCAGTCACTTCGTGCCTTCGTTGCCCTCTCATTTTAGGTAGCCAATGTCTAAGTTTCCCATCCGTATCTACCCTGTGTACAGAGGGGATAACATTGATACTTGATATGAAGACTCCTTCCCTGTCTGTTGGTGTTTTGAGCTACTACATCCATGAGTATAGGTCACGTTAATCAACTTGTAGTAATTTACTCTCATTTCCATTATCCAAAAAAAAATATATTTTTTCAATCTTCCTCTAGTCAAGTTCTGATTATCAAGCCATTGAGGATAGGTCAAATGCATAATATCTGCAAGTTTAGGTGTTCTTGTGCATCTCCCTTGACTTCATATCAGCTGGATGCTTCACTCTCAGCTCTAGCCCTCCGTGGCTGTGTCCTTGCCCATGGGCTCAGGTGTCCCCAGGTTTCATCACACTTTGGACCAACCAGCCCTTCCTCTTCTCTCTCTCATCTCCAGATCAGCGGGAGTCTATGGAATGTAGTTGAACTCAGCCCATTTCTTCATAGCTGCCTTTCCCCCTCTTCCACTTACCAGTAGAACAGTGTGGTTGGCAGCAAGCGTATATGCCTGTTCACGTGCTCCCTTTGAGTTTCATTCTTAGAGGGGAGTTTGTCCTGAAGGGACTTGATTGATTGCCTTGATAGCTCCCTTATTCTTGCAGTAGCCAATCATGCTGTCATTTTTGTTTTGGGTTTTTCCTGCTGATCTTTCTTTGATGATGTATCTTCTGTTGCTCTAGCTGTTCCAGGCTGGTCTGCTTTTCCTTTCTAGTGGGAATGTCCCCCCTCAGAAGGTTCTAGATGGGATTCAGGATTCCACCTAAGGTCCTGTACTGTGCAAGGGCTCTACAAGAGGCCTTTGCAAGTTCTAGAACCGCTTTTAATTATTCCAGTCATTTATAGGCTGAAGACAGGCTTATGAGCTTTTTGTAATCATGTTTCCCGACATTCCTTTCTATCCCACCTAAGTGTCTGTTTTACAATAGTAGGCAAAGGAAACCAATATTTATAAGACAGTCAAGCATCTTTGTATTATTTCCCCTATTCAGACTATGCCTCAATCCCTGTATCACAGAGCCCTGTTGTTCCAAAGTTGAGCATGCATCACTTTTTACCTCCGTCCCATTTAGCTCAGTGTTTAATCTCAGTGTTTCTCTACCAAATAAGTAGGTTTTAAAGAGACTGTTCTAGAATTAAACTCCAGTGTAGTGTCTGAATATTTATGAAGAAACTGAGCACAGTAAGAAACCTATCCTTCCAGTTGACTAGGGTTGATCATTTAAATTTGCAAAAGTATGGTAAACTCTGGATAGACTAAAACAGAGTCATATTTTATATTTCTGAAATGCCCTGCATATCATGAAAAAGGCATGTGATACAGCATCTGTAAACTTTAAATTGTACTTGAAATTTTCTCCATCAATTTTTGTTTTTTTCTCAGAATATAATGAGATTGTATATAATGAGCAGTTTTTTTTACAGTTCAGGTTAAGACTCATTAAAGTGACTGTTGAAATCACTTCAGTATACCACAATGAAAAATTTGAAAAAGCTAAATAAAAAAGGAAGAAAAAATTTGAAAAAGCTAAATAAAAAAGGAAATGTAAAAATCATTTACACATAGTAAGAATAAGTATTGTTTTGTAAAACTTTACTTTGCGTACCTTCTTACGTTTGATTTGGGTCTCCGTAGAAAATATTTATGTAGATTCTAAGCAGAAAATTACTAGCACCACTTTGGAATTTGACTATAGGACACATCTTGAATGAGAAAACAGATTTTAAGTACTACTATGGTGGTAATGGACATGTGCTTTAAAAACAGCAAAGGAAAAATGATTTTTTACTAGAATGAGAAAAGACGGAGAAGAAAATGGTATATGGAAATTTCATCTAGGGCCACCAAAACTAGGATAAGGCGTATCATGGAGCTTAGAGGGGCTAAAGAGAGCCATATAATTAAAGGGGCGCCCACATCTCAATTCTTGAACACCCTCATATGCCATGCCTTTTTGTACTAGGCAAATCATCCAAAGCTAATTTGTTCAGGGCTGAGTGAGTATCACCATGGTTCTACTTTTCTGCTTTGTAAGGTTTAATTTAATCCAGACTGACAGTCTGTGATGCCTTCTTACTCAGATCTGAGACCTACCTATTCAGTTCTGAGATTTTTCTAAGAATAGGCAGATAGTTCTCCTGAGAGCAATTAGTTTTTACTTAATGTTCTTTTAAAATAGATGAAGCCAGTATTACAAGTGTTGAAGAAATACAGATAACTAATTTTGTTCAGATTTGCTTTCCTAATTAGTTTATTATTTTTAAATGTGAACTGGTATTTTTGTATTTAAGTACTTCCTGTACTTCCACATCCAAGCTATATCGTATGTTTGGATTTGTTAATGAGTATATGCATAAAGCAGTTGATTGCCTTAGAATTTGACTAAAAAACAAACAGCTGTAATGCTGTCAAAACGTGCTGAGTGGGAATAAGCTACATAATCTTTATTCTTAAAATGTAATTTACAGGCTTAGTGTGCGATTATCTTTTTGTTTTTCAATCTAGCAATTTATGATGACCAATAAAGTGGACACAGCCATGTGGCTTTCTCGCTTGTTCACAGTTTACTGCTCTGCTTTGTTTGTTCTGCCTCTTCTGGGGTATGTATTAACATATTTCTGCCTTTGATATTTGATAGTTATGGAATGGCTTTTAGCTACATGACTATAAAGGGCTTGGAGACAAATAGGAGGGAACTTCAAAAAGTTTATGTAGAAATGGAATTAAAAGATAAATAGAATTTTTCTGCAAGCTTTCCGCAGCTCCATCATCAATATAAGTCCTGCGCTTAAGGTATTAATAATCTGTTTTGAACTGGTGAAATATTTTGTATCTTATGCTTTGTTACAGCTAATTGTACTTTGAAAATCTTGGGATATGGATGGGTGGGGATGAAATGAGGTAATGTTTTTTACATATTGCTTATTTTTTTTAAACTTGTCATGAAGACTGACTGCTTTCTAAAATTCATCTAAGACTATACGAGGGAGCTTCAAAAAGTGAGAATTCATTATCTTTTCATTCTATTTTAACATGAACTTTTTGAAGCCCTCTTATGTATGAAGTCAAGCTATAAGAAGTCAGAAAAGGTTGGAGTCATTTTTTTTCTATTGACTATTAAATGATAGATTTAGGTGTTGTGCAATTATGATGCAATTCACAAAGGAGGAAGAGACATGGTGGTTGTTTTTGTCTCATGATAACCTCTCCTCTGGTAATTTGCAGGTTGCATGAAGCAGCAAGCTTTTACCAACGTGCTTTGCTGGCAAATGCTCTTACTAGTGCTCTGAGGCTGCACCAAAGATTACCACACTTCCAGTTAAGCAGAGCATTCCTGGCCCAAGCTTTGTCAGAGGACAGCTGCCACTACCTGTTGTATTCCCTCATCTTTGTCAACTCCTACCCGGTTACAAGTATCCTTTTTTAACACGTTTTCAACGAACTTGCCTACTAAACGCATAGGAGATTTCTTCTGAGTTTTTCTTGTTTTGGGAAAAGTTCAGCAGTGCGTCCCTTCTGTGAAGCCTGGGTTGGTTGGTTGGTTGGTTGGTTGGTTGGTTGGTTGGTTGGTTGGTTGGTTGGTTGGTTGGTTTACACCTATCTGAATGAAGATAAATTGTGTGTGAGAATTTCTTACTTCAAAAACATGATTTGAGAACTTTGAACTTTCTGTGTCTTTTTTCTTGCTTCTTTTAATGCTTCTCTATTAGCCATGGAGATTTTATGTGGAACTTATTTAATATTTAAAGTTTTCTTTTATTCGTGCCTTTGGGAAATGTTCAGGCATCTTGCTTTAAATGAGGGCTTCTCCTTTCTTCCCGATTGAGTCCTGGTTGAGGAAATGAAACTAGAACAGACCAGCTCTTTAAAATTTGGGTTAACTTGAACAATAACCCGAACTGGAAAGGTTAGGTCAAAACCTTGCTAGAAACTTAATCTCCTTCTTAGAAAACAAGAGCAGTTTACCTGTTGCAAAGCAGCCAGATTGCCCGTTAGATTTTGAGTGAAGCCTTATAGGCAGTGCCCTACTTGAAGATGGCAGCCAGCTTGCTCCTCTTTGGATGTTTGCTGCTCTCCACAGTCCTGCCAATAATCCATTTCACTCATTGGGCTCCTGAAAGGGCTCACTATGATTCTTCTGAGTCTCCCATTTCAGGATTTCTACCCATAGTTTTTCCCATTCCAGTTACTCTGGATAACTACAATTTTTTTTTAATTTGGTCTGTTCTGGTTTTGCTTTGTTAGCTGTAACTGAGCCACTTTTAACTAGTTCAGAGTCCTGCTCTCTTTCCATTCTTAACTCCATTGAGCTGGAAACAAATGAAAGTTAAGTCAGAAAATTATGTAAGTAGACAGAGAATGGGATAAGCAGTCAACATCTAGACAAAATAATACATCGTGGACAAGGAAACGGGAGTATGAAGAAACCGAAATATTCTTAAGCTCCTATTTTTCCAACATATAGAACTTGACATATTATGTAATCCTTGCAACACTGAGAAAATCATCGTAAATTTCATATTAATGATAAGTATAAACATGCTTAATGCCAACTAGCTAATAAGTGGTAATACTGCAAGGTCTAGCTGACTTTATAGACCTATTTAAAAACAAGAACCTTGCCGTGGAGCTGGTTTGGACTCATAGCGACCCTATAGGACAGAGCAGAGCTACCCTATAGGGTCTCCAAGGCTGTAGTTTTCACTAAAGCAAACTACCACACTATTCTCCCAAAGAGTGGCTGCTGAGTTCAAACCACCGACCTTCTTGTTAGCAGCCTTAATCTATAGTTAATGAGGGAGCAGTACATTTACTTTAAAAATACTTCCCTCCTGGTGCTGTAGGATACTGAACTGGGCTGCTAGCTACAGGGTTAGTGGTTCAAACTCCCCAGCCGCTCCTCAGAAACCCTATACAAGGTCGCTATGAGTAGAAACCAACTTACGGCACTTAACAACAACAACTTGGACAAAGCAGGTAAAAGGGCGTGGGGATATAGGGAGGTGTGAGTGTAGGGAGAGTCTAAATGTGTGTGTGTGTGTGTTTTGGGAGATTCTGGTTAAATTCTTTGCTTTCCCAAGAAGGTATAAGTGACTTGGAACTTTAGGATAAAGTTTTTTTTTATCTGTCAAAGGATGGCTCTATAATGCCCTATCCTAATTTATATTTGTTAGCTTTTTAGTAGAATCCAATAGATGATTTTACTACAACTGTAAGCAGTAAACACAGTCGTTGTATTATTGGTTCAATCTATTTTTGCTAGCCACAGTCATTGTAATACTTTGCAATCACTAGTATTTAAAATTCTTGTCATTGAATCTGAGAGTCAGTGGAGATTCAATGGTAAGTCATGGAGAGGTTGTTGGTTCTGCTTTAGTAGTTTAAGTTTTTCTTTGGTGAAAAAAGTGTAAGTGACAGAAAGTATGTTTCCAGGTAGTTATTAAACAACAAATTGGTATACATTAGTACTACCTGGAATAGTGCCTGGCCCAGAAGATGTGCTTTGCAAGTTCTGTTGAGTGAATCCTGAGTTAATGCCTAATGAGAATTGTGACAAGTGAAGGCAACTTGCCTGCCTTTTCTATGGGCAACAGTATGGTTTTTTCAGGGGACGATTGTAGCTTCCATTAGCTACATTAAAAAGTTTTAAGCTTTTTATTTATGGGCTATAGTGTGGCTGTCTCTGGAGAAGGATATCATGTTTGGTAGGGTGGAGGGTCAGAGAAAAAGATGAAGACCCCCGGCGAAATGGATTGGCCAAGTGGCAGCATCAATGGGCTCAAGCGTGGCAACAATAGTGAGGTTGGCCCCGGATTGGGCAGTGTTTCGTTCTGCTGCACATAAGGTTTCTATGAGTTGGTACCAACTCTATGGCACCTAACAACAACAACAAGTGTGGCTGTGTAGGGCCAGCACAAGGTTGGCAGTTGATAATACTACTACCACTCTGGAAATTCGCATTTTAATGCTTGTGAATGGCGAGGAATGTTAATTTGTAATTTGTGAGTGGCCAGAATTTGCAATACTTGGGTGTCTTGCTTGCCAGTTGGAAATTAGGAACCTTTAGACTGTAAATGATTATGTAGTTGTTAGG